TGTGGGTAGCCGGGAAGGAGGGCAACACAGAGTGGTGGCACTTAGCACCCAAGTTTTGTCCCTGTACCTCGTGGGGTACGGAGGTGTTGGAGCACTGGTGCTGGAGCACCGGTGCTGACAGTGCTCCAGTAGCTGGGAAAGTGCAGAGAGGTCAGCCGAGGCTGTGAGGGGTGTGAAAGAACACTGTGGCACGTTACAGCTGTGGCTTGTGGTCTTTTATTATAGCTCTTCAGCTTATTTTGTGGTCCGTGGTGACATGCACAGTAGAAGAGCCAGGACCCTCCCAGATAGGGGCCTGTTATGTCAGTGCCTGCAACCCCACCAGGCGCAGTTCAGTGACTCCTCTTGCCCTTTCTGCTCTCCCAGGGTAAATTTCTTTGTGGGAGTGATTTCTCCAAAAGAAATACAATCATCCCAAATGCCTGACGCCAGATTCTCATCCCTCTGGGGTTTCCATGAGACCTTCCCTGTGACACCCCGCCCCCCCCACCCCAAGCGAAGGAGTTTGCACAACCAGATTTTATGCTTTCCTATGGTGGTTTGGGGTTTCAGTGCCCATGGAAGGGAGAAGTGAACAAATATGCTGCTCTGAGTGTCCTGTAGTAATTACAGCTGAATATAATAGGGTGGGACTAAGTGATAATGCCTAAAGTAGATGAAATCCGGAACCTGCGGTAGTTAATCCACGTCAGCTGTGATTTTTTTCAGTAAGTAACTCTCCCTCACATGGTACTCTTAAGTACCGAGTTCTCCTAAGTCATCACCAACCCTTCATCCCTTTACTCCATAAAATACGGCTATAGGTCTAGTGAAAACACCACATCTGATGCAATAACGCAAAGACTTCTCTGAAATACTCTGGCTTGCATACTGAAAGATTTATTCAGACATGGATTGCATAAATAGAGACGCAGGGATTTCTTCGACCAGGGGCTATAAATTAGATTTACGAGAACTCAGCAGCTTTAAGCTGATTTGACATGTAATTATATTGTTCTCTGAATTAGTTTCATGTCTGCGTTTAATTTGAACTACTGCACTTCTCAGAATTATAGCACGTCTGTAGATTTTCTTCAATATACAAAGTTGGTATTATTAAAAGTAGTAAAGTACCCTCTATCTACAAGAAAATTCACTGGGCAGTGCCTACAGACTAACTCCTCCCGTACATGTGGCTGTATGAAGTTTCAGTTCTGGAATAAAATCTATTTTAATGCCAAATAATTACTTCACAGGACCATTAGAATCCCGTGAATCCACATCTTCATGAGCAACACTTTCTTTTGGAAAATATTTTACTATCTCCTATTTAAAAAGACTTACCCTCTTTTTTCTTTTCTGGTTTTTTTTTTTTTTTTTTTTTTAGTTTTGAAAGGTTTTATTGCATCCATAAGAAGACAAAAACGGTAGTAGCGTTAGCGCATCACTGTAAGAGAATTCTGTAACCCACTAGGAGAAAGCGCGATGTTCCCATGGCGTGGCACAACACGCTGCCTTTTTGGTTTTTACCTCCTCTTCCCGGCATACTAAAAAAAGTTCATCGCGTACGCCGCATAAAGCAAAGGCAGACGCTAGAGCAGCAGGCACAAGGCGGAGGAAGGGGCCTGGACGGGACACACTCGTCCCTAACCCCTCCAAACCCCACAGGCGGGGGGCAGAGAGGGGGAAGCCTCCCCCCGCGGGGACCCGTTAGCGCAGACACGGGCGCTGACAGACGCACGGACGGACGGACGCGGCACACGTCGCGTGCTCAAAGGCAGGGGGATCTTCTAACCACACCATCCTTCGCAAGGGAGGTGGAAATTTGGGGAGAATCTTTTTCTTCTAAGTTACATCACTTACTGCATCGTTTATGCCTTTGATGAGCTTCCGTTTTAATGCTGCTCTTGCCTTTCCTTCTTCAAATGCAAAGTAGTTCAGAGATGAACTTGTAAACATAATGGCCCATGTCATTTTTTGCGCTTTTCATTTCACAGATAGCCAAATGCCCAGATTTCCAACGAATTTCCAAACTCCTGGCGTCCAGTTCAATGTGCTGTTACGAAGTGGGCTTCAGCAAGTAGTAGTAAGAGGACAAAATATTCAGGAACAAGTCTCTGGGAAGAAGAGAGCAGGGATATGAACAGGGAGAGAGATGCATGCAAGAATGTGGCTCCAGCTACACCCCAATGCTAGCGGATAACTGCGGGTAGAATCTTCCCCTGTGTCTGAACTGAACCAAGGACTGACTGGAAATAACATACTGTCATATAAAAACTCACACTTTTTAAAATAGTGGTGAAAGGAGCTAAACAGCCAGCAAAGATGACCCTTTCTGTGCTTTATTTCATTACCAGAACAGCACAGGTCTAGAGGGCAGATCTTTTCACAAATGGCAACAGCATGGAGATGATGGCATTAAACTGTGTATAAATATTGCACTGAGGACTCCAAACTAGTTATCCTCAGAGCAGAAGAGAATTAGGACTGAGTTTTAAGTACTTTCCAGAGATCAGTTTTGCTTGTCCTTTATAATGACACTAGTCTGATTAAAACAGAAACAGTGAAGCCATGCCTAGATAAGTCTCTAGCTAGACAGAGATAGTGTATTCTTAGTATATTCACACACATACATATAAATACATACATCCTGATCCATGACTGAACGGGAAACCATTAAATGTCATTCCAGCATACTTAAAGAATTGTGGCTAGGAAGTCACAGCTGAAGGATTTTGGCTAATCACCAAGTGAACAATGTCAAACACTGAATGTCTGGACAGTTTCCATTCGAATAACATTTCATCTTGGGCCAACTGTATTTACAAACCACTGGAACGAAATTCCATACTGTCATTATCCATTAGTAAGAGAGAGCATTACAGCTGGGTAAGATGCACGCTCACTTCTGCATGGCACTCTCCCAGCCCTCCCGGCGGCCGTAGCTCTCGCTCATCCTCGCATGCCCGTTCTGCAGGTCTCCCCTGCTCACCTCTGCGCGTCTTAGATGGCATTGCCAAATTCAGAGAGGGATTCTGCAGGTATGTGGGCATAGAGTGGGGTGATCTCTGACTGGTTGCCTAAAATTTGAGGAGCCATTTTACATTTAAAGCTTTACTGCATGTTTCAGAAACAACAGATGAGAAAGGCAGATCTGTATCTAAACATCTGTATCTTAACATCTGTATCTAAACCTTCCCTTGCTCTTCAATCTCAGGCAGTGATAGTAAGGAATGGAGAAGCCGTAAAATAAGCCCATAGAGCTACACAACAAGAACAGGACACAGCACATGCTCACACCTTGGTTTTACTCCTTGCTTTCTGCCTTCTCATCACCTCCTCTGAATCTCGCTCCCTTTATCTGACCTGCTTCTCCTTGGATGGTCATCTGTTCTCAGAACAAAGCCCCCGCCCCTGCACCAACTCCCCCACGGTGTCCTACTCCCACAGAGCCCATCGAGGCACCAAAAACTCCCAGCTCTGGTTTTGAGTCTGGAATGGGCACAGTTCCCTGCATTCAAGCACCCTCAAAAGCAAGAGCTGTTGCCAGGTTTGTGTAAACCCCCTAACGTTGGTGTAGGAAAGCCTGGATTATCTCTGCTGATATTTAAAAGCAAAAAGTATTTTTGCTGTAACAAAAAGGGATAGATTATTTTCAGTAGTATCACTACCAGGACATCATAAAACAGAGTTTGGCCAGATGCTTTTCAATACTTGTCCAGAAATTTCTCCATGTAAGGAGGCATACATGTCAGTATGACATTGTATCATGAAAGTCTGAAGCAAGGTTGCTTTTGAAGACACCATTGGGATTCATCTAACCACAGGTGAATTTCAGCTGCATAGCTCAGTAGATGAACCAGTTCCACACAGAAGAAAATCTAATCTGTTTTAGGCTTGTGTGTACATACAAGTTTGATTCAATGTCATGCCTGCATTGGTTTGTAAAGCAAACAGAAGGGATAGAATCATAGAATCACAGAATGGTTTGGGTTGGAAGGGACCTTTGAAGATCAGCTAGTCCCCCCCCCACCCCCCCGCCATGGGCAGGGACACCTTTCACTAGAACAGGTTGCTTAAAGCCCCATCCAGCCTGACCTTGAACACTTCCAGGGATGGGGCATCCGCAACTTCTCTGGGCAACCTGTTCCAGTGCCTCACCACATTCAGCATAAAGAATTTCTTCCTTATGTCCAAGCATAAATGCATTATACAGTATCATCTCCACAGCCAATACACAAAAGTTTTAATATTCCTAAGGGGATGGGAAGCTTTATTGGAGAAGTCTGTAGCAGTAACAAAATCCTCAACGTCTTACCTTACCTTATTGTATTTAAAGCAATAAATTACTTGAATACCTAATTTTGTAACAATGGTCTAAAGCTTGACTTTAGACTTGGAACACCATTATTTTAGTCTGAAGAGGGTCACGTAGCTGTGCTGGAGTTGACACTTTGTCGTGGGATTCATGTTGCGATACCAAGAATCCCCTGGGATGTGGGTGTGGTGGGGGTTAAGGGAGGGGAGAGGGATTTTTAAAAGACAAATATGCTGAGCATTGGCAGTGAAGGGGAGTAACATGATGGCTAATTTCCTCTCACCATACGCTCCGGGTCCCACCCCAAGATAAATTTAGACCAGTCGATAGTTAATGCTACCTGGCTTCAGCCATAGATGTCCTCAAACCAGCTGCGTTTTGGTGGAGTACATGGAGCTGTGCCCCTGGCTGTGGGAGACAGGCTATGAGTGTGTGAGACATTTATACCAGCTCTAAAGCACCGGGGCTCCCCAGGGAGTTCTCGGCCCTTTGCTTAGAGTCAGACTGATGGGAGGTGCTAGTCCAGTGGCCGAATTTAGTAGTTTGATGAAGAGTTGGACACTTCCAAACACTAGTACTAGTGTCCAGCTTCTAACAGGAGGTGCTAATCCACGGCCAGTTTTACAGGCTATGGCAAAGTGAAGCAGGCAGAAACTGCAACAGCCTGAGCAAATCTTCTAATGTGCCATCATTTTTTTTTCAGGGAAAAAAAATAGGGAGGAGAAAAGAAAAAAGTCCAACAAAGATGAAAGCAAGGAGTCAAGACAGGAAAGCAAAGGGCGAGCAGCCCGAAGACAAAACCGAGAACAGAGGGAAAACAACAACAAAACGCAGCTGAAGAAAAGAAAAGCCCCAAATAAAGAACAGAACCTGGCACCCGTCGACACTGCACATTAACAGCCCTCCATGATTGTTTAAGTCTTATGATGCTGCTATCTCTACCAGATCGCCCTGACAGGTGCTCCAACTGTTCAGGCCGCAAATGGACAATGCTACCAGTTATTATTAAACTTTAAACAACATTCCAAATACTTCCTATATTCTCCAAGCAACCATAGTTTATTAAAGAGATTGACATGAGCCAAGACAAAAAAAAGTTTAAAAATGGGATACTTTAAAACTGTTATATTATATGCTTCCAGGCATCTGTAAAAGGCAATTAAGAAATTTTGTATATATAAATAATAGGGTATAAAATATAGCAATATAATAATGAAAGACATTCAGATGAACAATGTTCTTTTTCTTTGTAAAATATTTTTCAAGTTATTGTTTAAGTATGAGGCAAGAGATATGTCTAAATCTAAGACGCAAATCGTATCCCTTCATATATTGTACATAAATATTAAGAGAAGGAGGAAAACGTTTCTGAAGAGCCAGTAGGAACCCAAGGTTTTATAACCTCTGGTGGAGCAGGATGGGATTGCCCTGTGGTTCCCTGGTCCGTGCTCCAGACACGGGTGAGAAACACCAGGGGAAAGCCAGCAGGGCTTCACAAGCTGAGGGAAAAGAAGCAGAAGCATCTCCAGCTTTGAAGACTGAATCACTGAGGCAGAAGGCAACGAAGCTGAGTTTGAATAGTGCTCTTATCTGTGGGACAACACAATGTTTTCTGGTTTAAACAGTGGTACCGTGTGTGCTGTTTTATGCTTTTTATACCTATGTGTAACTTAAGTCTACATTTCAAATCTTCTGGTGAATGACCAATCGTATTTGTAGGAGACAACGTTGAGTTAATAAAAACCAGAAAAATAGATCATGTAAGTATGTGTTTTTCACAGTGATGGTGCCGCCTTTTCTACTGGGGGAGACAATAATTTCATAGCTTCACAGACAGAAGAGGACACAACCTACATCCACAACGTGCATCTAGTGAAAGGCTATCCATGACGATAAATCTATTGAAGGATAGAAATTACAAACTTCTGTCCAATTTGACTTAAATTCTTGTTCTAGTTCTTCTATCTGACACAGCAGAGGTGAAAATCTCCACTGTTCAGAGGACAAACCAAACCCCTTGGTACCATTCTGGCTATATTAGTGGCTAGAGCAATCCACAAGTGAAGCACAGGCTATGCTGTACGCTGACTCTTTGCTCAGAAATGGATTTACCCTTTACAGAAACACGTTGAGGAACCAACATACTTCATAGTATGTGTTTTGCTGCCGTGCTTTCCCCAAGGCCAGTTGTCACAGGGCTAACAGCCTGCCCAGTGTCACGTGTGGACTAGAAAACATGGCAGGTGAGCCTTCCCGGCCAGTTCCCATCCCTACTCACTACTTCTGTTTCCCACAATGAGTTTGACCTTAAAAAAGACTCTGCCCAACACTGAAGCCTGTCTCTCAGGCTGAGGAATCCTGAGCGACAGGCTTCAGTGACTTTTGGAGGAAGATCCTAATCATCCAGACAGGGATGCAGGATAGTTTCCTACATTTTGCTTTGTAAGAAAGAGCTTTGTCTCTTAATGATGTGTGTATAGATGTAGTAGTCTAATAACACGGGTGTTTAAGGCTCCCACAGCTTGCCTTCAACTTTCATGAGACTTCTTAGTCAAAACTTCCTGTAACCAGTCCCCAATTATATGCATATATTATATTTTTGCTGGTGAGAAGACCTCAATGCTAAAGAATAAATTTTAGAGAGATGAATATCATGTGCATGTAACACTCATCACATGCAATGAAGTCTGAACAGGTGAGAGAGAAAAGCAGGGTACGCTGAATGCCTGTGAGGGGCACCTAACAGTGGGAAACTGGAGTGGGGGTGGCTATCCTGGGCTCCCAGCTCCATCACATAACTTGTCTCCTCCAGAGTGAGCTGGTCTCAGTCTCCCAGTACCGATCCTGGCAGCAGCAGTCATCTTCCCCCACCAGCATCTTCCCACCTTCTTGGCAGCAGCAAGTGAGGAGAAATTGGTCTCAGAGAAGTGGAGGGTGCAGGGATTGTGCTTAGCACTGAGGCTCTGGGTGATGCTGAAAGGAGGCAGAGGGTGGAAAGAGGAAACCCTGCTGCTGCCAGACTCAGAGGCTGGCACCAAAAAATGAGGTGGAAGCAGCAGTTCTGGGCTGAGGGGTTGGTATCACCACAGAAAGCAGCATTCGGTGCTTCAAACCCTCTCCTGCAGCTGTATCCACCCATCTGTCTGGGGTGCTGGTGGGCAGACGGGGATGTTCAGCTGCTCAGGAAAAATTCACTGCTCCATTTACTTCCTCCAGGGGCAGGTTGTTGGCCAGATGTAGTATCCCTAGTTGGATTCAGCAAACTAGACCACCAGCTGAATCACATGGATAACTGAATCCAGAGGAGCTTTGTCTACAACTCTTAAAACTAACCGGTAGGATTGTGCCTTTTCCCTGCCTTAATTAAAAATAGGAGTTAAATGGCCAGGGGTTTTCAGATGGGAGACAGCTCTTGATAAATGCACAAGCAAAAACTATAAAGATGAACAAGGGTGTTCAGAGGGGAATTAAAAAGAGGAAAAAGCAGAACAAGGAGCTAAATCCAGAAAGTCCCTGACCTCAGTTTTTCTCTACTGCAACATTTGGAGGAGTCAAAGGAATGCCATTTATCTGGCAAAGAGAGACAGAAGACTGGAAAAGCAGTATCAAGTAGTTCAAGAGCTACGGATTGAAGGAAAAACAAGAGGGTGAAAGGAAAAGAAGAGAATTTAGGATACAAATGTGAGCTTTGTTATACACCGCCACGTAAACCTTTATTACAAACTCCAGTGTGCCTCTCCCTGCTTACGCAAGTGGCAGTGACAAGAGAGACGGTTTGTCTTACCGAGAGCAGGACTTGGAATACTATCACCTTTCAGCAAGGGATAAAAATGTAAAAGGAATTTGGCTTGTGGCAGTAATAATTCATAGCAATAGTACCTGAAAAACCATGATACAACCTTTCCTGGAAATGACCAAGGAAGTTGCCGTCATGTTGTTCCCTCCCACACAGGATAATGTTTGATAATATTTCCTGTAGCCATGGTGAAGCACTAAAAAGTACATCCAACTCATCTGGGCAACTAAAATTTTCTCCAGTCCTGTTACTGAGTGTAGACTACCCTGATGGCAGGTGAACTACTCCGCTGGGACTCCCAAGAAACTGAAGAAGAATATGGACCTTTGTACGTCAAATACATATTGCAGTGACGCTTTTTGCCCACCCAATAATAAATATGTAAAATTGGGAGTCAATGATCTTACATGCTAACTGAGTAAGATCTAATGGGGACTCATACAACCTTACTGGAGAAGTTCTGATAAAGTACTGCAAGTAGCTGTCACTACATTTGTGTGAAACTTCTTTCCTGACAATTGCTTCCCAGTTAAAAAATACCTCAAAACCTTAAGAGTCAATTTTACATAATTTCCAGAGGATTATCAACAGAGTAATATTATGAACAATTTTTCTTAAAATGGGAGCTAAATTGAATGAGTGTTAATTGTCTGCCAAATTCATAGTGTGTTAATTATTAAAGAACAGGTCTGGAGTGAAATACTAAATATCAGTTATAGTCAGTAGATAAACACAAATGAGGTGTTGCTTCGGACAGTTAAGCTGCTCAGGGAATTATAATCAGTAACAAAGAGGCAAAGAAATGCAAAAAAGCAACTGTTATGGCCCAGGCTTCAGATCTGTCTGACCAAGCTGTAGCTTGTTCTCTCACCTGGCTCCGTGTTAGTGAAGACCTGAACAAGGGAATCCAGTGTTTAGGTATCATAAACAGTTTAT